TCATGGGGCTTAAGTGTAGGGTTTATATTTGAATTCTGTGAAGAGTGTACTGGCTCTTCCCTTAGGCAGTGCTGTTGGACGTGACTTGATTAATTTGAAGACATGGGATACCGGTTTGTTGGTGTTTGTATGTTTGCTCTTGTGCTTAAGTACTAAAAACTCCTTTCATATAATTGCTCTTTCATTTTCTTAAATAGCTTTTATTATTCATTACATTTTAATAAAGACTTGAGTTGCTTTACATATATTTTTAATAAAATTGACTGATGTAGTCAGACCATCTGGCTAAAAAGATAAAGGTACTCTGATTTTCCAGCGTGTGCCTTATCAAATAGTTTAAAAGCATAGCAGAAATGTAGGCTGTTTCAGTGATACCAACATTTAATTGCCTGCTGTGCACCTTATGTTGCCTTTTCTGCCCCCTTGGTTCATGTTGTATTACTCTAGTCAGACATCATATGAGTGTAGATCCCTTGGCATGAGCAGTTGCCTTAATTATCAAGCACCAAAGACTCTCCAGCAAGGTTAAGGTGGTTTAATGGAGAGGGTGCTGAAACAGGAATTTAGAAAATTTTCCTGCACCTGATAAGGAATCAAAAGAAAAACCTGCGTTGTGAGAAGTCGGTGCACTGTGCACCGAAGAGCTTAGTGAAGGTAGCACAAGTTCATCCAGTTACATGGGTTTATAGGGATGGAGTGGGTCTTTTGTACATATAATATTCAGGGAAAATTGTTAGTCCATAGTTATCCTATAGAGATTGCTTACAGCCCTCTGGTAATACCATTCTAACCTGGACAGGTTTCGGGGGATTTGCTACAGAAGAGGCAAAGGAACATCCCTGTGAGGCCTGCCTTTGAGAGCATGGGGATAGCTGACTTCTCATTTTCAACTTAGTAAGGACTGCAGTTGCCATGTCTGCAAATCTTTTGTAATAACATGTCAGTCAGGTGACTATTTGACCGATTTGGCAGACGATGAGAGTATTTTTCTGTGAGTTCATTGAAAATTGGTGGTTAGAATCACCAGTCGGACCTCAAAGCCTTCATTCCTTCAGGCACAGCAAGGAGAGCTCAGCCTTCCACTCCCCAGTAGTCAAGTGGCATATAATCACCTATTTCTACCTTGCTAATCAGCATATGTGTAGTGATTGGGGGGGGGGAGTATTTGAGGTTTTCTTCTTTTAAAAGAAATCATGGTTTGTAGTCTATTAATGATTTGTGACATTTACTGAATCCATTGTGATTATTTGTTCACCCGTGGGAAAACAGGGTTCACGCTTTGGCAGCCAGTGATTTCCATGAGCTGATAATTTAAATGGGTGTCCCAGGTTGTTGTCTGGATTGGGAATGTTTGTTTTGTTATATGACATGAGAATTTTGCATAGTGCTTAATCTTCAGCCTTGTATTAAACTTGATACAAAATCAAATTATGTTTTTCATAGAAAATGCAAATAAACCATTTTATGTTTCCAGATATGAAGAAAAATAAAAACTTCATGTGATCTCCACAAAAGGCACTAGCAGAAGGAGAAGTAGCACATTTTCTGCATAGGCTGTGTTGATTTCTGTTTATTTTAAATTTGTGTCTGGGACACACGTAATGGATTTGGGATATGCACTAATCTCAGTCTCCATTGAAATTGTCAGTGGTTAAGAAAAGCAAGGTCACCAAAGAGTACAAATAAATGTACTGTGTGTGAGAGTTGGCATAACATTTGTCATATACTCGATATTTAGTAGAGAAAATTAAATTTTGGTTTAAGCACTCCTGTTATTTTTTGTTCTTTGTTACTTTTCATCTCCTGCCTTTCTCATTTCTCATGTGTTTACCCTTCCACTTTCCAGACCTTCCAACTGTTAGCATTCTTAGTGCTGAAGAACACTGGAGGGAATACGGCGTCTGTATAGGACAGCCATTTTGAGCTACGTGCTCATGATCTATTGTTTTCCTCCAGAGAGATCTCTGCATACATTACACAGGTCCAGTACTATATTTGCAACTGCATTTTGTCTCTTTTCTATACCCTTTTCTATATTTGTTGGAAGAAAATGTAATCTAAACTCAGGAAGCAAGGAAGTTACCATTGTATGCTAGTGGTAAAAAATTAGTTATTTTGGTTTTGTTTTCATGAACCAATAGTTGCAGCATGTACTCATCTGTTTCTTCATTAAATGACTGAGTTTATACAGGCTAGATCCACTGTCACTGTAATGATAATGCCTGTTGTGCACCTTTTGTCTTCTTTTCCTCCTCCTTATTTTATTCCCAATCCATGTTGTGCCTTAAATCAAGAAGAATTTTTTTAAGATGTGAGGACAGGAAGGCAGAACTGTGAGTTTATAACACAATGAAAATGCTAGGTAAGAAAAGCTGTGCCTGTGAAAATCACTGCCTTCCTGGACTTATTCAGTGCATTTTGCATTTGCATATTAAAAGAATCTGAAATTAACAACTTATCCGAAGAAAAAGTGCAAGTAGCAGGTGAGACCGGGGTAGATTTCTGGTAGGGTGTTTTTAAATGTTTGACGGGTTGTTTGAACTGCCCACTAGTGCAGCCGATATCCAGCTCTTACACTCTTCTCAAGTTTCTTGCAGTATTTAAACTGTACATTAATGGACATTCTGGAGTACTCCGCCATTTAGCGGCGTACTGGGTATGCTTTGTTTTTTCAGCTGAGCTCTGCTGCAAATGGGTTGGCAACAGAAACATGAACAGGAGTGCAAGCACAAGGCCTCCTGCATAGACAAGGGTGTTTCTTGTCCTCAGACTAATGTCTACTGATCTCTGCTTCAGTGAGGTATCTCAGGGCTGGGAGTGTAGTCTGCCAAAGCAAGAGTAAGGTGCTGCCCCAGGATACCTCACGTACTTGTGCACATCCAAACTGGTGCTGCTGCCTCCCTCCAGAGCTGGGACTCAGTGCGTGCCCCTCTCCCCACTCCCATTCATCATGATCCCTACCAGGGCTTCACTCTGCCCACAGGAAATAGGCTACAGCTTAGCTTGGATGTAGCAGGGGGTTCAATAAACACTCAGCCTGTGAGGAAAAAGGAAGAATGTCTCATTCTTACGTAAATTATTTTTGCCAGGAGACACAGGCATTGCTTGGCTGTCACAGATTATGGATGGAGAAAATGCAAAGGCTGCACCTGGCTGTGATATTTTTAAAGTATTTCTGTGAAGAGCTATTGCACACGCTTTTACATTGCCTTTTGATCTGTGGTCTCCCTGACAAACCGTCGGCGTGCTGTTCAGCCCAATTGTCCACTTGGCTGTGGTCTTGCACCTTCAGGACCCACCTGCTCTGGTGTTTCAGTACTCCCTGCAGACAAGGACTGCAGGGTTGTCCGTACCCATCCCTTGCCGACACCACAGAGGCCAAACTGCTGCTGCCTGCTGGGCCGGGCTCGGCTTGTGGGGATGGATGACTGGATCCGGAGAATGGGTCCTCCTGGGCGTGGTCTCCTCCACAGTGCTGGTGAGGCAGGACAGCCAGGCATGGGGTGGTGAATTTTGTTATCAAGCTGTAAGGTTCTTACACTCACAAAACCACCACTTGTTCTTTGGATTACTTCCATCAATAATTCTGAGAGATGGCTGAGGAGTGGTTTTGGCAAGATGACACTGATTGCTTTCTCTCCATGTAAAGTTTTTTGGGTTTTGTGACGGTGTTTTTTTCATAATGATGCACCAGGGCTGCCAGTTCCCAAGGAGCATGGCCTCAAAGGCATGCTAGTGCTTCTCAAATTTTCAACTTTGAAAAGCAAGCAGAATGCTTCATGCCTCCCTTGGGTATTACGTTCTGTGCTGAGGTGGTTGTAACCATTCCTATTTGATATCTGAGAGCATCTACTGTTTCTGTTTAGACACCCAAAGATGTAGATGACCAAGAGGTGTTTTCCCCTTCTGGCTTGGGATTAAATCTCTCAGTTGCAGGTAAGGTCTGCATGTGTTTATTTGCTGGGGCTAATAGAAGGCAGGGAAGGTTGCATTTCTCCTACTGCCACTTCATTTGGAAAGGCTCTTTGCGCAGATGGTGGAGGGTGCTGCGGAAACTAAGTGATGCCAATGACATCCCCATGCCTGAATTAAACTGACCCAGTGCTGTCACACTGGGCCTGGGGACAGCAATGGCATGCTCAGCGGAGAGCTGGAGGGAATTAAGGCCACAGGTGGGCTCCCTGTGGGCAGGCTGCACACACCCGTGACAGCGGAGACTAAGAAGCATTCGTGCTGGTGAAGGCTGAGCGCGTGAAGGGATCGCTTGCTTGTTTTGGGAGGCTCATGCCACTGTTGAAACACATGCAGTGCCACGCATGTTGCTGTGTGTGTCACAGTGGTGTGCACAAATCGGGGGCACCGAGGGGAGAGCTCGCCCGCTTGTGTAGTGTGAAACGGACCTTCAACAGGAGACAGAAGGGTGGTGGTTTTGTTGCTGTGTTTTTTAAATGTCTGCCATGGGAAGGTCTGGTTAGTAGTCTGGATTAGCCCTTCTAAATTTTCCCCATTAAAAAGAAAACAATCAAATCTGAAGAACAAATCTGTTGCAAAATGAATCACTGGAAATAAAAGGATGTGAAAAGAAGGAATTTTTAACACCATCAAAGTATTGTTCAAAAATGTGTTATTTATTCATACGCTAACTATGCTGACTTGCTCAGGGATACTCCCTACTTCCCTGTGTTGCTCTCTGTCAGTTTAGAAACAAGGTGATCATCTCCTCCAGCCAAACTTCTTCTGTAATCTTGTAACATTAGTGAGCAATTAACAATAAGTACAATTCATAATTACAGGGTATTTACTGTCCAAAAAGATTAGCAAGAGAACTTCCTCAGTAGAATAAGAACATACTAGAATGCATTATACGTACTATACATAATAAGAATATATGTATTTTCAAAAACTAGTGACTAAAATGAAGTTCCATGGTTGGCTTTTAAGGAGATCCAAATGGCCTGACTATCAATGGTATTTAGCAGTAACTCACCGGAAAATTAAAGCAAAACCAAGAACAATCTACTAGTATTTGGACTTGGTTGATAAAAATAGCTTGTAAACACTAACAGCATTTATATACTAATGAATCTTTCACTCTTCATTAAATAAAAGTAACAGTGCTTCTCCATTTTTTTTTTCTAAAGACCAGGACATTTCTCTGAGGAAATGGATAAATCTTCCCCAAAATACCCAGTCAAAAAGCGAGTGAAAATTCATCCCAACACAGTAACAGTGAAATACACTTCTCATTATCCCCAGCCAGGAGAAGAGGGATATGAGGATGTTAATGAAGATACTGGAGTATTTATGGAGGATAATCCTAAGAAAAGACTACTGAATGATGGGAAAAAGAGCGAAAGGACCTTTTTTGGTACAATAGACACCAAGCTTCAGCCAGCTCAACTGCCAAAACCTGATGAGATCGGGCAATCCCAGCAATTTCCTGAAGGAAATATACTGCAGTCAAGGAAAACATGGGTAGTCCTTTTTGGATCTGCTGTGGCTCACGGATGTGTGGCTCTAATTACAAGATTAATTTCTGATCGTTCCAGAGTGCCATCCCTAGAGTTAATTTTCATCCGTTCAGTCTTACAGGTGCTGTCCATTACTGTTGTGTGTTATTACCATGAACCTCCCTTTGGCCCCAAAGGCTACAGACTGCGGCTCTTCTTCTATGGGGTCTGCAATGTTATCTCTATTACCTGTGCTTATACCTCCTTCTCTATAGTTCCCCCCAGCAATGGGACCATTATGTGGAGGGCTACCACTACAGTGTTCAGTGCCATTTTAGCTTTTTTACTCATAGATGAAGGAATGGCTTACATAGACATAATTACTGTAGTTGGCAGTGTGTTTGGTGTTTGTCTGGTCATGATCCCCAACATTGTTAAGGAGGAAAACTCTTTGCTGAGCACCTGGAAGGAAGCTTTTGGCTATACCATGACTGTTATGGCAGGTTTAACCACTGCTCTCTCCATGATAGTCTATAGGTCAATCAAAGATAACATCAGCATGTGGACAGCACTATTCACCTTTAGCTGGACAGGAACGGTGTGGGGAGCATCCACCATGTTCTTACTTCAAGAGCCAATCGTCCCACTGGACGGAGAAACCTGGAGCTATCTCCTTGCTATCTGCCTGTGCTCCACAGCAGCCTTCCTGGGGGTCTACTATGCCCTGAGCAAGTTCCACCCCGCTTTGGTCAGCACCGTACAGCACCTGGAGATAGTCATCGCCATGGTCCTGCAGCTTCTTGTGTTGCGGATCTTCCCAGGTGCTTATGATCTTGTCGGGGGAGCAGTTATTTTGGTTAGTGTTTTCGTCCTTGCGTGTTATAAACTGTCCTGGAAGAATTTAGGAAGACAAGATTATCAGGAGATTGTGGATTCTTCCATTAAATGAACTGCAGTTCTGCTGTCCAATTCTGGCTATGTGACCACGTGAAAGTAACATATTTCAACTCTGTGATGGTCTAGCCTAGGGGCCAGGTCCTCTCTCAACTGTTTAAATTCACAGCTGATGTAGCAATGTTGGTATTTCCAGACTTCCATGATAGGCGAATTTTTCCTAGAGCGTACAACCACTGACATTTTGTCATATGAGAAAAGGCTACTTGTCTCCAGCACATAGGGTGTGTGAGTGGAAGCGCACGCTGGCCCACAGAAGTGCAGGCCAAGTCATAGGCATGTTCTTTCTCGCCTTCCCGGGATAAGGCAATACAGAGACAGAGGGATTCTCTAGTGACTCTCATTCCTGTGCAGTGTGGTAGTAGGAAAATGAACCGTAAAACCATTAAAATGGTCAACCAGAGTATTCATATCCTCTGTAACACTTCTTATGCTTTGGCTGTAATACTCTAAATGAAGTAACGCTAATATCTCTGTGGTTAAAACTTGCATTTCGTGTCTGTATAAAGAATAAGTCAGTAAAGCTTTTTTGTGCTCTGTGGTTAAATTTCTATCTGAATTGATGCAGGAAGCCCAGACCTCCTGTGGGGGAAAGAGAGCCCCAAAAACTGGATCTCTAGTTGTGCCACAGCTGTGGAAGAAAGGTCCCCAAGAACTATAAGGTCCGTGATAGATCTACCCCTGAAGCAGAGCGATATTCTTTCTATGGAACCACTTTTTCTAAAAGATGTTTTGACTATTATGCAAGGGAGTAAAAAAAGGAAAAAAGACCAGATTGCATTTGAGATTGAGGTGTGATCAGCAGCAGTAACACTGAACAGCCTGACAGGCATCCAGTGACTTTAAGCCAGTGTGCTTGGGTCCTAACACTTCAGTTAGAAATTAGAGTTACAAAAAGCCATGGGTTTTATGGTTCCAAATAGCATTCCTGGCTGTGCTAATACATGGCTAGTAAAGAGAAAGACCAGCTTCTAAGAATCTGTGTCTATGGGCTCCATGCCAACCACGACCAGTGGACACCTCCGTGCTCCAGCAGACTGTGCCTCTGTTCTGGGACATGAGCGTTTGCTGAGGGAAAAGACGTTGCTCGGATGGCCCAAACCAGTCCAGTTTCCCCCATGGAAAACACCATGGAAAACACATTTTACTTGGGGAAAAAGCCACAGCAGCAGCAATCACTTTTATTCCTATGAATACCCAGGAAGACCTGGTTTCCCGACATCAGGCAGCCCAGCTGGCAAGGCTCCTAATCCATGTGACACTTGTGTCCTCCTGTGTCAGTGATGAGAGCGATTGTCTGGGCTACACAGGGAAGACACGTTTCCTCGGGTGCTGGCACAGTTACAGCTGCCCCGACAACTCTACTTCAGGAGCACGTGGAGTCAGCAACAGGAGCTCTGCCCACTGTAGGAAGGACAGGAGGAAGGGGAGCAGGTAACGCAATGCAGTGCTGGGAAGCCGTGCCCAACACCACCTCAGCCAAAAACCCCTTTGGTAGCTTAGGGCCCAGGCAGGGGTAGGGCAGTTCCCAGCCCAGAATCCTGCTGTGCTTCTATCAACTCCTCGTTTCCCTCTGGGGCAGATGGTCTTTCCTCCTCTGAGTGATAAGATAGCAGGAAAGCTTCCTTTGTGGAAAGCAACCACGGTGAAAGGCTCCATCTCCTATGGCTTCCACGCCTGTTACACTCTGGAAGGAGTCATACTTCAAGACTCCATTGTGCCAACACGCATGCAGCCAGCTGGGTATGTGCTGGCAAGTGAGGAGCATCTGACAGCAAGACTCCTGGAATGCCTGCACTGTGCAGTGGGGATGACAGTCCTGAGCAAGCTCTTGATGAGCTGCCCCAGCCGCAAAGCCCCCTCCTCAGCACAGCTCCCTGCTACCTCCAGTGCCTATGCTAGCTTCTCTGCTTGAGCCACACGTGCTGCAGAGCCGTGCCAGCCCCACCATGATCCCTGTGAGCACAAGCTGATACACGGCTAAGCAGACCTAAGAGCACATTGCTGCCAAAACAATGGGTGATCCCACTTCCTCCTGCCACCACTTCCCCAGCGTCTGATCCACAATCGCAAACTGCAGGCTGGGTCAGTTTGACTTGGGGATCAGAAACAAAACTAATCCTGCCAAAACCTGAGCCCAAATTGACAGAGGCCACCAGCACCCAGGGGCTAAGCAGGGCACAATCCCATCCCGAGAACCTGGATGATGGCTGGAGGGCAATTCCTGGGGTCTATGGGGCTTGGTCCTGGTCCAGCTGCGCCACAGCCTGCACGAGGTCCTGCACAACCAGGTCCACGTCTGCCCGGGTGGTGTCTCGCCCCACGCTCAGCCGCAAGGCGTTCTGTGCCACATCATAGGGGATCCCACAGCTGAGCAGAATCGAGGAGGGCCTGAAACACAGACACAGGGGTGAGCAGGTTTACCTCGAAGGCCAAGGAAGCACATGCATCACCAGAAAGCTTCACCAAGCTGTAAAAGGGAGCACATCTGCAGATGCACTCCAGGTAAAACTGTCTCCTGCACAGCACCCTGCTCACTTTCCAAAGGCACCTGCTCCCACTGGGCTTGTTGCCCTATGGTGGAGCTGGCTCTTCCCCTCCAAGGAAGAACCTCTCCTGTGTCCCCATGGGTTGGCAGCTCTGCCATGTCTACAGGGCATTGCGCTAGACCAGGCCAAAAGCACCTGCTGTCCCCACACACCCCCAAAGGAGCCTGCCAGAGACCCAAATTGGGCTTGAGCAGGTGAGCCAGGCGCACACAAACATAAGGCAGACTCTCTTCTGGCAGTGCCAGGCATCAAAGAGTACTTCCAAGCTCAGCTGGACCACCAAAGCCAGGAGAGACAAAGTCCTTCCAAGCAGCAGTCAAGCATTCCACCTGTGTGTCCTGCAATAACCTCCTTCACAGCCCTTCAGCCCCTCTGGAAAGCTCTGCACCCTCTTTGCTCCAGGTGACACTGCCCACAGCCACCCATGCATGGTCCCTTTCCCTGTCCTATTTCCCTCCCTCCCACCCACTCCCCTCTGGGAAGATGCCCTGGGCCTGGCAAAGCCAGCTGCTTACCGATCCCCTTTCTCAGAGTGGCAGGCAGCCCCAACACTGGCAAGAAGCGTCTTGCACCGAGACAGCACCCTTCTCCCTGCAGCACACACAAGCACAGATCTCCCAGTGCCCAGGCTCTCTCTGAGGGCCGCTGCCTGCCTCATCTCTCTGCCCAAGCCACGGCCAAACCCCCGCCTCCCTAGCTGCAGGGTGCTGTGCGGGGCAGGTGCTTGGCTCCGTGGGCACCATCACAGGGCAGTGGTGAGGTAAGAGCTACCTTGAAGGCCTGGGCCCAGTATGGAGAAGTTAGAGGTGTTGCAGAGTCGCTTGGAGCCCGTAAAGTGGCTGTTGAGGTGGATCCTCTGCTTCCCAAAGGAGGCCTGGAGAAATCAGAGGGGTATGAACTGCTCTGGGATTGCGAGCAGCTCTGTCCTGATGAGGAGGTGGCAGGGCCAGAGGGACATACCCACCCTGGCTCCAGGCCCTGCACTCTGCAGGCTGAGACCCCAAGAAGGGGAGAGATAAACAGGAACCAGGTCTGCTCACCTCCAGCCTGGCTTCCAGGTAATCCCGAACATCCCGCATATGAGCCTTGTAGGCCTCCCAGTTCTTGCTGACTAACTCTGCAGCCTGAGGAGAGAAAACACAGACTCTGTCAGCAACCCCCCAACACCTCCCCTCCGCACACAACCCCCTGGCATGTGAGTCCAGCCCGGGAACAGCCACTGCAATTGCCAGGCCCCCTGCATCCCCCAAAAGCCTCTCGGTGCCTTGTGCCATGTGAGCTGCATGACTGCCCACTGCCAGGGCTGCAAAGCCTGCAGCAAGTGCTCCGAAGCACCTCCTTTGCCTGGCACCAGAAAGCCCCATCTCCTTTCGTAGTAGTTCGCCCACCCTCCTGCACCCTGAGTTTGTCACTTCTAATGACCAGGGAGCACAGGTGGCTGTCTCCATGCTGGCTCCACCAGGCAGCACCCCCAGGGAACTGCTCACCCATGACCATCACTGACTCACCTGGCCGAGGCCAACGATCATTGGGGTGTTCTCGGTGCTGGAAGGGAAGAGAGAGCAGTGAGTTATTTCTCCAGACCAGAAACCCAACCTCAGGGCACAGACATTTCCCACATGGGACCCCTCACCACTGGCAGGGGGTCCTGGACACACCTCTGAGGTGGTTGGGACGGGGGCAGTTCCACCCTGCGGTTCCTCCCATGGCAAACCCTGAGCACCAGGCTCCCGCAGTTCCCACGCACGGATCCATCTCCCGGCGTTGGGCTGCCCACCCCAGGGCTGGCAGGTGACACAGCTGCCAGCTCAGCTTGAACCAAGTAGCCATGCATGGTTTGGCCACCAGCCTGAGGCCCAGCTCTCCAGGCCACCACCCAGCCACCTTACCCTGGCCGGAAACTCCTCTCCTGTCCCCCTCCAAAAAGCATGGGGTGCAGTGGGGTGGTGGTGCCGGGGCTGCGCACATACAGCGCGCCAATCCGTGGGCCATAGAACTGTGGGGAGAAACAGCCGCAGTGACCCTGGGGACACTGCTAGGTGTCCCTTTCCTGTACTCCTGCCCAAATCCAAGTGCCCTCCAGTGCTGACCCCTGCCCGTCTCGCATCCCCAGGCTGCTGCAGAGCTGTCCCCTGCCCTTGGCCTCCTCCTGCTCCCCCTTCCAGACAGGGCACTCTGACTCACAGGAGCCTTTGTCACCCAGCTGAAGACTGTCTTCAGAGCACCATCCAGCAGGAAAACTGTGGCCACTGATGAGGTATCAAGCGGGGGGGGGGGGGACATCAACGGTTCCGGGGGCATCCAAAGTTTCCCTGGCACCCCAACAGAGATGTCTTAGAGGGCAAAAAGCGGCTGAGACATATGGACAGGACCATACCTTGTGTCCCACGATGGTGAGGTAGTCCACCCCCAGCTCCTGCACGTCCACACGCTCCTTGCCAATCAT